TCGCGCTCCTCCCTGGCACTGCCTCCCGCCGCCCAGAGCACCCGAGGGCGAGGGTTCAGAGCGCGGCGGCAACCCGCAGCTCGCACCCTCCCTGTTACCCTCCACTCCGTCCTGGTCCCAACGCCCGGTCCCTAGGGGCGCCCTCGGCCCCTCCCTGGGGAGGGGACCCAACGTTCCCTACTGTCTAGAGTGCGCTGATCACCAGTGTGTGTGTGTGTGTGTGTGTGTGTGTGTGTGTGTGTGTGTGTGTGAGAGAGAGAGAGAGAGAGAGAGATTCTACGCCACCAGAAATCTGGGTCAAAATTGTTTTGTGAGTTTTGGATCCAGGCATTAAAGAAAGACAACTAATATTCTTTAACAGTTTGTGTGTGTGTAAACACCTTCGTTTGGGGCAATGTCTGTTCTTTTTCTTGGAGGCATAATCACCAAGATGCCAGAGACCTCGCTTTACAGACATTTGAGCTGAAGAATATCCGGTCTCCCAGGACCTGATACAGTTAGGAAGGAATGATTCCCGTGGGTGAAGCACAATAGTTCCCTCATCTCCTCTTGACAATGAGGATCTGAGATCTGTCACCACGGGCTTTCACTGGTGTGTCAAAGGGAAAACAGGGTTTGCTTTTAAAATGTCTGTATTATTAATGGCTGGCTGGCTCTAAGACACTAGGAAGGGGTGGCTTTGCTTCTATTTCTATATGTCTGAAAATGCCCAGCCCTATCTCTATTTTAATCGCGTTATTTGTATTATGTATTAGACCATCTCATATGCTTTTTGAAAGTAGCAAGATATAAATTATACAGCACACACTCGTAGGCACACACCTGCAAAATTACCAAGTAAAGTTTCCACTTATTCTACTAAAGATTTTAGGTGGGGGGTTTTTTTTGGGGGGGGGTGCTCTTATTCAAAATAGAGCTCTCTGTAGGTCATCTCCCACCCAGCCAAGGCCAATCCTGAAGACTGGCTTTCTTGGGAATGTGCAGGATTTGAGCAACCCAGGCCTGCCTAGTTGACCCTTTTCCGCATGCATGCTAATGACCAGACTTGCCGGTTAACTCGCTAATGGTATTTAGTAGGGTTGGAAAGATAATGGGGAGGCCATATCTGTAAAGTGTTGTTATGAGGATGTATCTTGACTGTGTACACTGTCTATTGTAAATAAACAGAATTTTCAGATTTATGGGTTATGGTTTGCTACAAAATGATGGCTGGTCATGCAAACAGTTAATCAGTGGGGCATGAGGAAGCATTGTTCCATAGCCAAAATTACTCCCTTAGTCTGAACAATGTATCTGCAGGCATCGCTTAGAAAGAAACTTGTCTATTAAACCTAGAACCAAAGCTCATCCTACTGCATGAGACTAGGGCCATGTTAGGAAGCTGTGCTCAGTGGTCTCTTTTCTTCCTCAAGAAAAGATGGCTTGCGCAGCCAGTATGGCTCAGCAGTTGATCATCTACTCAAAAACCAAGAGGCCACCAGTTCGCTTCCTGGTCAGAGCACATGCCCCAAGTTGTGGGTTCAATCCCCAGAGGGGGGGCGTGCAGGAGGCAGCCAATCGATGATGTTTCTCTCTCATCGATGTTTCTCTCTATCCCTCTCTCTTCCTCTCTCTCTAAAAAAGGAAAAACAAATCAATAAAAACATATTTTAAAAGAAAGAAAAAAAAGATGGCTTCATCTGTGCCTAGTGTTTTCCTGATCTTCGAATCATCCATCAAATTTAGTGCTGGTCAAGAGCTACAATTCAAGAGAGTTTAATTTGTTAATTAAAGGACGTAGGTCTATCAGACAACTCTGCTTTTGCCTTCAGACTCAAATTGTTCCAGGCATGTATCAAATGGCACAAAATCAAAATAGCAATGAATTCATTAGTAATATAGCAACTTTGGGGAAGAGAGAAGACCCTTTAAATATTTTTAACAGAACAGTCTGATTACATTACCCAACCATATCCCCATATATAAACTTTAAAATGACTCTCTAAATAATGATAGAATGTCCCTAAGGAATGTTTTCATTCTGAACACGAGTGTGATTGTCTTTCTTCTCCCCTTTTACAGGTTCTCCTCTAAGAACACCCATTTAACTCATTCAGTAAATCATGATGGTAATTGGAAATGGCTGGAATACTGATCATGGCTTCTACAAAACAATAGACACGTCCAACCAACAATTACTATAAACCACCATGGGCTTGTTAGCCTAATTTTTGCATGCGACCCGTGTTTGACTGATAAGGACATCCTGGCATCAGAGCCTTAAAGATAAAACCAAGGAGGGCTAAGTGTGACTCTATATTGAAAATTAAGAAACATCACTGTTCCCTTTAGGATGATGAAAATGTATCTTACCTGTTTTAGGACTTAGAATACTTCATTCTGAGAGAAAAAGAAACGAAATTATTTTTTTTTTTACTAAATGTCTAAGGTAGTAAGTTCAGTTTTTCCCCATGATTTCTGTGGCTTAAGGAATATTAAGAATCAAAAAGCCAAAAAAGTTATTTTTTATTCTTTGATTTTATTTTTAGGCTGATGAATCACATGTATTATTATTAATTATTGGATAATAAACATTTACTTTCAATAAATATCTTCTGCTATGTGGTATTTGGAGACCAAATATGTAAGTATCCTCTCAAAGCCAAAAACAATTTGTTCATCTTTTAGAAAAATATTTATCAAACACTTACTATGTGCCAGATGCCTTTCTAGGTTGTAGCAATATAGTAGTAAATATAACTCTCCCTTCAAGGATCTTACTATTTTGCTCATTGATGGTTTGCAATGAAATATCAATGTCTGGCACATTATATTAGAGGGAATGAAAGGTCATGACTTCCCCTCCTGGGTCACATACAGCTTAGACTTGAAGGGAAGGTGCTAATCCAGAGTCTACACAATGACAAAATCCTGCAAGCGAGCATGAGCTAAATTCCTTTTATAGGTTAGAAATTAAAAGATGCATTTAATTATCAGTCCTCCGGTGCTTCTGTTCTATTTTGGCATTTATGAGAGTTAATAAAGTTCCCAGGTTTCTGCATACATAAATGGCAGTAATCTACGATTGATTGAATTAATTAAGTAAAACAATTGTCAAGAGCTAAAAATAATAGAAAGAATTTTAATGAAACAGTGCATAATGCTGTAGAGCTTTGTCAAGGAGTGCAGGCAATCGATTTGAAGACTTTCCCCCTAATCAAGTATGTGTGTGCATGTGTACTCGAACACACTTGCGTTCAATGTATTATTCTGTAAAGTGTGACATATACCTAATGGTCAAAGTAATGGAAAATAAATTATTAGAAATTTAGTCTTTTCGAATACCTTGAATGTGTAATACTATTTAATGCTTAAATTCAGAAATAATGACAGCATCTTCACATTCTAAACACCCTATGATTATTAATCAGAGTATCTGGATTGTTAGAAGAAGGGGGCAAAGATGTTATGCTAAAGTTACTTGGAATTCAACATATTCATGCAATCTATACTAATAAAAGGGTAATATGCTAATTAGACCAGGAGACCTTCCAGATGTCCTTCCGGACAAAGACATGGTGGAGGGGGCCGAGGCAGAAGTGGTTAGGGGCAATCAGGCCAGGAGGGGAGGATGCTAATTAGACCAGACAGCCGAATGATCTTCCAGGCGTCATTCTGGATGTCCTTCTGGACGTCCTTCTAGACAAAGCTGCCGCAGTGGGGGCCGAGGCAGAGGCAGTTAGGGGTGATCAGGCAGGAAGGAGAGTGGTTAGGGGTGATCAGGCAGGCAGGAAGGCAGACGAGAGGTGAGGAGCCTGTGGTTTCGGATTGTGAGAAGTATATCTGATTGCCGGTTTAGGCTAGATCCCACAGGGATCCCTTCAGGATGGGGACCTAAATCAGCAGTCAGACATCCCCCAAGGGGTCCTGGATTACGAGAGGGTGCAGGCTGGGCTGAGGGACCCCTCCTGCCCAAATTCATAAACCCGGCCTCTAGTGTTTAAATAATCTTTCATTGCTTTCTTATGTATGTTCTATAAGTCTCAGTCTATAGGATATTTGCTACTTTTATCCATGAGTGCTTACTGGGTAGCAGACCCTAGGTTGGTATTTTCTCCCATGGTGTAGGTTCCAGCTAAAAGCTGTGCTTGAAGATCCTAGGGGTAGAATTATAACAAAACATCAGGAAAACAGAGTTCAGGGATATGGGCAGTACTTTGTTATGTCTCATATCCTAATAGTTTGGACATGGTCTTTAACAGTTTTCTCTCTAAGGTTGTGTTTATTTCTCCACTTCTACTTTGCCTTATAATATGATTCTTGTCTCAATGTGTATTCCAGAGCAATTCCTATTACTTGGTATTACAAATGACACAAAATTTTTTCTGTAGTGAAAGTTTATTTAGAAAGTTATAGAGGTAGTAGAAGTGAGCAGTGAAAGAAGTGAGCCAGCTGGGCTTCATGGGCTCAGGAAACAATTTAGAGAGGTAAAAGATGGGCCCTTGGAGCTTAGGAGAGACAAGAAGATCCAAACAGGCATGCTCTAGAGGGGGGAGCACTGCTCAAATTACACAATTTTTGAAGATGCATTTTATGCAAAGATAGAGAATTTCAGAAGTCACAATATCTATGTTCCAACACAGTAAATAAATACGTAGGAAGAATCTATATATATAAAAGCCAAGCAACCAGAACGACTGGTCACTATAATGTGCACTGTGGTGGCCAACCAGCCCAATCGGGGCCCTGATCGCCCCCACACACACACCTCCCATGGCCCCTCCTCCCCAGTCAGGCCCCACCCATGCACAAATTCCTGCACCAGGCCTCTAGTAGGGAGATAAATACAGGTTATCCCAAGTCTTAATGAAATGGGACTCACAAGTGGCACAACAGAGGAAAGAAATCTCATGGCA